GTTTTTTTTTTTCTGAGAGTTTTCCCTGTTTTTCTTCTTACTTGTCCATCATATATATCTCAACTGTAACTGTGATGATGAACCTTACAAATGTTTAAAGATGAGGTGTGCTCTTTAATGGACTAACCAAAAGTTTATCTAACTTTGCTTTCTAAATCAATAAACTGTGACAAATACTCAACTATTTCTAACTTATTAAATGATGTATATGTGACCAATATTCTTCTTTATTTAGCTATTCTCCTTCACTAATATAAACTATTTAGATTCAGTTCTTTCAAAAATTTTAAAGCAAAATCCTTTTAATTTTGCTCATGTCTGAAAAACGTTATTAAACATAGTCTTTCCTGACCTGCCAACTGCTTTAAGTAGGTCTTGATTAGAGGTTCCATAATTAGAAGTGTTCTGGCTAATACTGTTATGTAACAAATTACTCTAAAAAGCAGATAAAAACAACTATTTTATTTTGCTCACAATCTTGTGGTCAGAAATTCAGGAAGGGCTCAGCTGGACATTTCTTGGGGTCTTTTATGCAGATGCAGTCAAATAATGGCTGGGCTACAGGTATATAAATGCTCAATGGGATTGAATGTCCCAGATAGTTCACTCACAGGGAAGGCAGATGATGAAAATGGTTTACTAAGTCAACTGGGATGCCCACTGAGCACTTCCATAGGCTTCCTGCTTATTGTTTGCAGAGTAGTCAGATCTCTTACCTGGAGGCTCAGAGCTCCAAGTGTTATAGTAAACAAGATGGTATCTGCATAGCCATTTTTGACCTAGCTTTGAAAGTCACTCAGTGTCACTTCTCCTGCATTCTATTGGATAGTAACAAGACAGAACTCCATTCAGATTCAAGGAGAGAGGTCATAGATCCCACTTTTTGGTCGAGTCAAAAAATTTGTGACTATTTGTCTTAACCAGCCACAAGAAGTATAAATGTTAAGGTCAAATTGTTACAACTCCAGCTCATATTGTCATTTTTGTAGTATTTTAGAGACATGATAATAAATAGCCTTTTTGAGACCCTGTGGTTTTAAAAAGTTTACTAAACTTAGTCCCACCCTGTTACATGTTTGAAATTATTTTCTATTCCTGAGTGGTTTTTTTTTCTCCTGGACAAATCTACCATATTAAGCTTTAACAAACATCATGATTTTCCCAAGTAGATGTTACAATAAAGAATTTCTAACCATCTCCTACCACATTAACTAAAACATTTCTAACCATCTCCTACCACATAACTAAAATATGATCTTCATATTCCCCTCCTCTATATTTTGTTCCTTCTTTCCTTAGTATGCTTTGACTTTTTTGTTTCACACTCTGCTAGGCACTGAGGATACTGAAATGAATAAACCATATTCCCTGCTGTTCAGGAGGCTTGCATTTTGGTGGGGAAGTTGGGAACTGAACTGACAAATAGTATAGTAAATGTGACTTCAGGGATAGGTGCAGAGGATTATGAGAGCATTGAAGTAAGACTAAAGCTCCTCAACGTCTAAGTTACTCAAGAGAAAGCAGTAAAAATTCATATTCAATTTATTTTTTAAGAGTGAGAGAGAACAGATTTACGGTCTGAGATACACGGCTATGACACCCACACATTTCTGGACGGATCGTGCATTTCCAAATATAACTCATTTTATCTCCTGAAAATAAGATTAAAAAAATATTATCTGCATTTACACAAATGTCTGAAAATATGCATTAATTTGAAATCAACGTACCCCTCCTCCAAATTGTCAAACCACTGGAAGTCAGCTTCTTTAGGGGCAGCAGAGATAGCAGGAAAACCCCTTGAGATTGTCAGAAATGCTAACCCACTCCAGTGATTGGATTCTCATAGCTCAATTAAGAGAAACAGCAAGCACATCCGGTCATGAAGTTTAAAATATTTATGAGGATAAAAAGCCTGTAACAATGTCTTTCACTATTAGTTCATGGTTAGATGGAAGGAGAATTACTTTGGAGTCTTTTACTTCATTATAATTTCTACGACTAAATGTACCAATTATTTCCCTTTTGGTTTAGCTTGAGAATAAAATGAATGCTTAAGTTACTGATTATTTTAAGGTAGTTTCTTCCCATCTTTCCCCAAAGAAAACTTAGATTTTCACTGTTGTTGAGAGAAGACAGAGGGAGAGGAATTTAGTTTGAGAGATCACCAGCCCATTCTACTTAGGAGAATGCCAGGTACCTGAAGTGATTCAGTTGAGCAACTGGGTTAAGTTCCAGAAATATTTAAGGCATCTTGTGAGTAGGCAAATGGGCTATAAGACTTTTACTGCATAGGAACAACTGTAGACTAAAACACTGGGGCTTCTCTGGCTTTTTTTTTTTTTTTTGAAAAAAATAAGGGAATGTTCCTTCTACAAGCTAGCCTGTACTACATGGGAAAAACTTGAAAGTAAAGATATTGATCATATGTAACCTCTATTTTTTAATTCCCAGAATCTAGCATAGTACTTGACTGGAGTGTGTGTGCTCTGTAAACTTCACTAATGTGTCAAGCAATAAATGTGATGTGCTGATCATAACAATTTTAAAAAAGTCACCAATTATAGATAAGCAAAGAGTCCTGTACTTGAAATTTGTAATTTCATTTTCTTTGGTATTATTTGAAGATAGCATCTGTTTTTATTATCCTAATCATAAATCTTGAAGAAATTTATGCAATACTCTTATTTGATATGACTGTGAGGAATGTGTAAGACTTTAATAGATGCATAAACATAGAAATGAGGACTCTGTTGAGTTATGAGAATTTGGTAATGAGTTAGTCTGCTCCCACAGTGAGAGGAAGATAGAATAATACTATAATGATCCACTTAATTATTTGTAAAGTATTTTTGATAGACGGATGTCATAGCTTAACAAATGTGAATGTGACACTGATTCTGCACAGTGACAGACTCTGTCGTTACACATTTCACAGTTCATTATAGTGTTTTCCCCCCAATATTTACCCTTCATTTCTATTGCTGCTTAAAGTTACTTTGTCTTGATTTTATAAAGGATGGGTTTTATCTTGCAGGCTGAGACATACATTACGTTCTAATTCCCATTAAGATCAAAGAAAGAATTCTTACCATGTAAGATCTCTGGCTCTGTCTCACAGAACTAACATTTTGCATTGCTATTTGGTTTTCATTTTAGTCAAGCATCCATGCTAGTTAATTTTCGCAATACTCCTTGCCAAATAACCAAATTCCCTTTTCCTAGGAGCACTGAAATCAAATGTTAATAAGGACTTAAAGAATTAGGCTTAGCGTGCTCATATATTTTACAAAATTAGAATACTATTTGTGGAACTGCCGTGTTCATGATATTTCACTTTGAACTTGTTCTTTAATTCTTCTACTGTTTATTTTTCCTTTTCTTATTCTTACTCTGAAACCCACTATCCATAAGAATATGACTGGATTACCCTTTCTGGAACATTTCCTTTCTTTTGGTTAGAGGAGGCTTGTGTGTGGTGTGTGTGTGTGTGTGTATTTAGGTTTCTTTTTTTCTAACCAAAGGCATTTATTTGTAACTTTCTTTTAATATATATTGTTGTAGCAAAATGGAACTATACAGAATGTTAGATTTCAAGTTAAAGTTTTTCATTTATCAATTGATTTATACATTCATTTATAAATATGAACTGAGCCCAATGAGTTGGGCTCTGCTTACTGCCTTTTGTCTTTTATTTATAGATATTGCTTCCACTTTATTCATACTGGAGAACTATGTTTCCGCAGACTTTAGATAATATAGGGCTCTTAACCACACACTTATTTTAGAACACTCATTAGATAGGCACTATGCTCAAACCGGAGATAAATTAAACCTGGTACCTACCTCAAGAAGTCTAATGAGATAGAAAAAGTTATGAAAATATGTCACATTTGGATGCTTTCATAGGTATTAGAAAACCCAACCCAAGGTGGCGATTTGTTGACTCAAGTTACCAAGAAGATCAAAGGCTAAAGGAAATTTAGAAGTTTAACCTTGACTTTCATTCTATTTCTTTGTGATTCTTTAGCATTTTCCCTCTTCCTGTGTGTCAGCTTTACCCACAGGCTAACTTATCAGTGGTTCCAAGCAGAAATAGGGACTACATACTCCCTCCATCCTCAATCATTGATCAAAATCCTGCACTTTACCTTGATTGGACTATTTCTGAGCCAGTTGTGGCTAAGGAAGTCCTGTGTTTGCTTAGGACTGATTCCCTAGCCAATCACTGTAGACTGAGGGAATGTGATTAAATTTATTGATTTGTGCCCTTGAGCAGAGGGTAGAGTCAACTTCCCCAAACCACAGAGCTTCTACACAAAAGAGAAAGATGGCTACTCAGAGGGAAATCCAAATACTGTTTTAAATAGAATGGTGGGAAATTGAAATTGGTAAGGCAACCAGTGACTATGTGACTGGATCTAGGTAACATCAATTCTCACCCATTCCCACTTGATGTTCAGACTCAGCATTTTATTGTTATGGCAGCTTGATTGCAAAAAATGGTCCCAATTGTTCTACAACTCTAGCAATGTGACGCTGTAGATCCTCACTTTAAGAGATAGAGTCTGTTTTCCTATCCCTTGTATCTGAGCTAGGCTGATGATTTGATTTTTAAAAAAAAATGCGTTGGAGATGACCACATGACAGTGTTGAGCTTAGCCTCCAAGAGGCTTTGTGTTCTTCTACTCATTCTCTTGGAACCCTGCTGCCACCCTGTGAATTAGCCTGGTCTCGTTGGCTGAATGATGGGAGACCAGGCAGAACAGAGACAAACCAACCACAGCTCAGGTCATCCTAGACCAATCCGTGACCCAGCATTTGACCATGGACACATGAATGAGCCCAGGTAAGAACAGGAGGATCTGGTAGGGAGGTAAAGGCAAGGCTTATATAGTCACGATTCTGAAATCCAATAAACTCAAAACAAAAAGGGTGGGTTTTTTTGTTTTTGTTTTTATTTTTTTTACTAATTTGTAGTCAATTCATGTGGCAGCAAAACCAAATGTGTACTTACAAAAGGCTATTTACATTCTTTCTTTATCCAAACTAGTGTGAATATCTATACTTTTTGCTAAAAATATATTAGCAATAATCGCGCCTCGGATAAACCTCATTGGCTATGATACTGCCACTGCGCAAAGCTTGCTGAAAATATATTAATGTGTTTGACCATAGGGTGTTGCCCCAGATCCCACTGGGGTTACAAAATATATTGCATGTGCAAAGTTTTAGCTTTTTTAACTACAAAAAAAAAAAAAAAGAAAACCCAAATCAAACCAAAACAAACAAAGCACCTAACTCTTGAATTATGTTGGGCTCAAGAATTTGAGGACCTGAAACTCCACTTGCACAGAAAACTTTTTACCCGACCTTTTTCTTTTTCCTCTTCCTATCCTACTCACAAAAAATCTTCCCTAATCTCCTTTCACTGTGTGTGATTTTTTTTTTTTATCCCTCCTCCTCAAAAGTCCCTCTCTTCCAGCCTCTCAGTGTTTGATTTCAGCCTCCTTCTCACTCTGGGATTTGCCTCTCCCACCTCTTTCCTTATATAGCACTATTTAATCTTTCTCAGCTTCCCAGATTGCACTTTCATATATTACCCAGCTCAGCAAATTGAAAGACATTCCTTGACATTTGCCCTCGTTAGAAAGGAAGCAAAAGTTGGAGACCATGGGGTTAAGTTATGACTAATGTTCTTCCTTGTCACACATATAGACAAATAAAGATATATATTACTGGTGCTCTGGTGGGTGTATAAGAGCTGAGTTAGAATGAGATACAAAGAAAATAGTGGTCAATTCTACCCAGGGTGGGGAAGCATTGTTAAAGAATTTTACAGAGAAAACCATGCTCTAGAGGAGTTGACCTCTATTGACAAGTTGAGGGAATGAAATTGAGAAGCAGCAAGTCTAAGTAGAAAAGGCAGCTTTGAAAAAGGAATGCTATGAGTACAGCTGGAAATATTCAGTGAATTGCAGATAGTTTATGAAGCTGGAATGTATGCTGGGAGGTGAGGAAGAAGAGTTAGCAAAGGCCAAGTCATGAAGAACTTTCTCGCAAATAAGCTTCCCTAAAAAATGTGTAGGACTGTCAGTGGGGCAGAAATCAGGAGAAATTTCTAAAATATGAAAAGCAGGTAAGACGTGACTGAAGAAGTATGAAGCCACTACAAGGAACCTACCAAAAGAGACAGAGCAGCAAATCCAGTATACAATCTCTACCGTGAAGGTAAACACAACACAAATGACCAAATATCCAAGGAAAGACATCCCATGAAAGACAGACAAAATTGAAGACCTTATACCTAAAAAATAGTTAAAAGAGCAATCAAAATTGATATTGGTTATAAATGTGAAAACACATATAATTAACATCCCTGAAGAGTTAAGGTAGGACATTACATTTATAAAATAAGAAATAGCACAAATAGTTACAAAAAAGAAAACAAATGTCTAAGAAGTGAAAAACATAATTGTTCAAATTTAAAAATTAAGAGATGGACTCAACAACATAATGGAAACAGCTGAAAAGCAAATTAATAGTTAAAAATAATAACATTTTAACATTTATGGGGTCATTTAAGTGTCAAACACTAAGTACTTTGCATAAATTTTATTAATTCTTCCTCACGATAGTCAAATTAGCAGTACTATTATGTTCCTTTCAAGTACTATGCATCAGATAATTGCAGTAGTCCAAGCAAGAGATGATGAGAGACTGGGCTAAGGAGATATATAGAAGAAGAACCAAACAGAGGCAGAAAATTGATACTGATACTAACAATAATAATAATAAAATACCAAAAAATCAAACCATATACCATAAAGTTTAACAACATAAGAAAAAAATAATGAAGCACAACACCACCTAAGACACTTATTAAAGTAGGGTCTCCAACAGTAGCATAACAGAGTTGAACCATAAAGGGCCTTGAAAAATGTGAATCAAAATAGGAAATTGTCTTAATTGATAGGACTATAAAAATTATAAAAGCAGTGTATCTCAAAGTTTATTTTATAAAACAATAGTCCTAAAAGGTGCTTTGTGAAAAATAAGACTCATAATCCTATAAAGTTAGGAAAACTGAAAACATGTCTTACCCTTAGAGTCAAATCATACATTAGCCAGTTAAAGGGTCTCAGAAGTACTAAAATAATGAAACCTGTTGAATTTTTAAAAAGTAGAATCTCCTTTCTTCCAGGGATATTTAATTATGCTAATATCAATATTAATATTACATACAACATATATTTATTATATTTAAATTAATATATAAAAACTAATATATATAAAACACACTGAAGCAAGTAATACTCTAGATCCATGTTTATATATTTATAGGAATCCAACTTGGTTATTCCTCTGACATATATTCAAAAGTATGAAATACAGTTATAGAGTGTTATCATGCTTTTCAAGCATGTTTATTTTATAGGAAAAAAAGTGAAAATGAGGGAAGGAAACTCAAGTAGAAAGGTAACTCAGTTTAAGGACTGAAATAATATCACTCAAAAGATTAGCAATAATAATAAGGATTATATGAAAAATCTAAAATAAAACTTTTATTCTCCTTGATAGTAAAGGAAAGCAAAACACAATAATTGCTTAAACCACTGTCTACATAGGTAGATAACCAGACCCTTTCTGTCCACTTTCTGAGCTCCTTTCTGGCCCACGGCAATTAAGGAGAGAAGGCTAACTCGTGCCAAATGAGCTCAAAACCTCACTGCCACGACAGAAGTTTGTGTTGTGCTCACGTCTGAGTCTGATATGGATCAAGTGGCTCTCTTCTAAGCTGTGATTCAGCAGTCCAGGCTGCTTTCACATTGTGGCTTCAAGGTCATTTTAGCATTACAGAGATCGCAGGTAGCAGGAAGAGTAAAATGGACAGAAACAGCAGATTCTTAACTACATCCTCCCAGAGGTTAACATCATTTCCACACATTCCATTCAGCACAACTGGAACTGTGGCCCCACAGAGATGTAGGGAGTACATCCACACTTGTGGTTGTTGTGTCTTCTTGATGAATTGGACCTTTTATCATTATTTCTCTTATCCCTGGTCACATTCATTGTTCTGGAGCCCACTTTACCATAGCTGCTTCAGCCTCCTTCTGATCAATGATTGCATGATATATCTTTTTCTTTTTCTTTTTTTTAAAGATTTTATTTATTTTTTAGAGAGCGAGCGAGAGAGAAACAGCATGAGAGGGGAGAGGGTCAGAGGGAGAAGCAGGCTCCCCGCTGAGCCGGGAGCCCGATGTGGGACTCGATCCCAGGACCCTGGGATCATGACCTGAGCCGAAGGCAGACGCTTAACCATCTGAGCCACCCAGGCGCCCGAAATATCTTTTTCTTGTAACTTATCTATGTCTTTATATTTATATCTCACTGTCATTATCTCTTGCTTGGATGATTATTATAAACTATTTGATTACACTAGGCTAACTCCTCTTCAATCTATTCCCCAAAAGGAACTTTTTAAAATTCACATATGATCTTATTATTCTCCTACTTAAAAGCCACCATTGGCATTTTGCTGTTTTTAGAATTAAGTCCACACACCTTATTCTTACTTGCCAGTCCAAAGGTGATTTTTCCTCTTCTGACACTTCCAATATCATTACTTGACATTCTTCCCCTCACATTTTATATTGTATACATATTTAATTTTCTTCAGTTGCAGTAATTCACTTCTCAATTGTCACCCACTCTTCAACATGCTACCTCATTTTTCAAAGGGCTAATTTCTTTTTGTACGTGTCTCACCTAGATATTGTATCATCCAGGGGTCCACTCTGACCTGCCAATTCTGAGTTAGGTATGTCCCCATTGTATTATGTATTCCTCTATCAGAACACTGATGAAATGGCATTATACTTGTCTGTTAAATTGACATATCCCCCACCAGATTGTAAACTCCTTGAAAGGTGGGATGTATCCATTCAGTTCACTACTCTACATCTGGCACTTAGCATAGAACTTTTGACATTCAATTAATACTTGAGTGAGTGGCTGAATTACTGAATGTTATTAACAACTTAAGCAAAGAATTTCAGTGGAGGGATAGGCTAATAAACTGGATCACGTCTCTAGAAAGGAATATGATAAAGGACGAGGAGAGAGTGAAAGGAATTTGACACATTGCTTGAATAAACAACAAAAAAGATCATTGTAGTGGGTGCCTGGGTGGCTCTGTCAGTTAAGCAGTGGACTCTTGATTTTGGCTCAGGTCATGATCTCAGGGTCATGAGATCCAGCCCTGCGCCGAGCTCTCTGTTAAGCATAGAGTCTGCCTAAGGCTCTCTCTCCCTCCCTATCTGCCCCTCCCCCTCCCCCACGGAAAAGATCATGGTAGTATAGTACCACGGGTACTGTAGGATTGCATACTCGCCCACCCTCCATGCATAACAATATGCCAGGTGAAACTAAGCTAGAAGAAACCATCTTCAAGCTCCTCTTAAGATAGAACAAATCCTTAGATTGATATAAATTCTTAATGCAAAGAATTGCAGGCACTTGAAACCTGAATCCTCTCCAAAGGCACGTTTATCTTTTTATTACGATCTGCTACACACAGAACAGTGCATGAAATAAAGAATCACCTGCAATAATTTAGTTCAAGGAGAATACCAATGTAAGCACATCTGGGTCAAGAATAGAAGAGTGCTATGCCTCACAAGCCTCTTCTTTTGCCTTCTCCAAATCACTATTTCCTCCATCCCTTGCAAAGATAGCCTCTATCTTGACATTTATCATAACCACATTCTTGCTTTTCTTCATTGTTTTGCCAATATCCCAAAATATTCTGGTATAGTTTTGCCTCATTACTAACTTAATATCAATGGAATAATGCAGTTACAATTAGAATTTTTTAGTGGCTAGCTTCTTTTCTCCACCCTTACTATTGTTTTTTAAAAAAAATCATATTTATTAATTTTATCCTGAATGTGCACATGGTATTTGGATTAGAGACAGATTATCATTTTTCACTTAAAAAGAAAGTATTGACCATGTGGTTCCCAACACTGCAATTTTTACTCCTGGGACAATATAATGACAGCAAAATCAAATGTCCTATGTATATGAACTTCAAAGTCTGTATCACAGGGGAGAATCAGAAAAATTGATTTTGTCTGCTTA